GGCGGGGCGCGGCGGGGCGCGACCACCACATGACATGACCTGGCCCGAGAAGTCACGGGTCACACGGCACACGCCAAGCCTCCGGGCACACGCGCCCAACTTGCAACCCCACAGTGTTTTAGTGTTTTTTCACCGGTTGCCAGCCCCCGCGCCGCCCGGACTTCCCTCTCGACAGGAGGCCGACTTCAAATGTAGTTGCCATTTTTTTCAGATTTGCAGCAAACGCGACTCCGAAAATGAGCAAATTTTAACCGAGTAGGGCACAAGGTGTCAAAAAGAAACCCTGCATCCAATATAAAATCTATTTACACTTTTGTGTGTTTTGCACCGTGCAATGACGCCAACCCCCCAAAATCATAAGAAAATTATCCGTAAATTGCAAGAAGTCAAAAAAATAAAAAATAATAATAATCCCAGGGGTGCGAGAAGAGTGAGGGGGGGGGGGACTCGCGCGTCAATAACACGCGTCAACAGAACGTGGGTAAGTACAAAAGGGACTGGACGGAAAGTAAAAGAATAGCCACGGTGATGGAAAACTCACGGGGCGAGACAATGGTAAGCCGTCCTGTCATAATAAGAAGGATCATGGACGCCAGGCGCCGGGCCCTACCCCGGCACCCCCGGGGAAATATTCCGCGACCCCTCTCCGCTCCAGTGATAGTTCAGACTGGAAAGGAAGAGGCTGCAGCGGAAAATTTTGGCCGTTTCGTTGACTGGGTCAACGCGCCTGAGGAGGGAGGCGGGGGAGAAGGGCGAGGGCGGGCCGGGCGACCCTTGGCGATGAAGGGCCGGGCTAGGCAACCTGCCTCGACGGGCCGACCCGCCCCCGCCTCGGTGCAACCCGGCTGTGCCTACCTGTGGAACTTTCCGCTCGGGCAGGCATGCACTTCGGGGAGTGGGGAGGCAAACAAGAGAGCCGAGGGAAAAGTAGAGAATGAGAAAGAAAATAAAAAGGGCAGCGGGGGTGATACGAGAAAAATAGGGCCTAGCAGGTCAGGGAGCAGAAGGGGTAGCATCACTAACCGCAGGTCGGCCCACCTGAGCCTGACAGCGCCGACTGCGTCACGGGAACGTTCACGGTACGCGTTTACATAAATACGGCGTCCAAGTCAACGATTGGTTTGGCGACATGGAGTGATTTTTGCACTTTGTCTGGCGGCATGACAGGTCAATCATAGCGTTCATCTCAGTGATAATGGGGGTGTCGAACGCGTTAGGCCCTTTGATGGACCGACCAGCTTCCCCAGCAGCTAGTGTGTAGTACCCCCCCCGCTCCCCTGCAGTGATCGACCTCCTGCATTACGCACCCCCGAGATCCGTCTTTGAACAGCCCCTGCGGAAACGTCGAACGAGTCCAACCCTTCAACTGAACCCGCCCTGCCATGCCAGCCCCTAACAACTAAAGAAGTGGTGCACACTACAAGTGTCACACGCAGCCCAGAAGGGTGCACACACAAGCCGTTACATCACCGGCAGCACAAGATAGTAAAAAAGTGCCGGGTGGTGCCGGGCTGCGTCCGAGGCAGTCTGAGGCCGCGGCGAGTTGTCAAAGCGGTGGCGCGTCCAGGCGCGCCCCTACCCCTTCCGCCCCTCTCCCCGACAGTTTGAACGGTTGCGTCCAAATGATATGCAGGTGAATTTGGGAAGATGGGAACATAACTTAATGCCGTACAAACTCTGTCTCAGTAGAGGGAAAACAAAGATAGACAAGCCCCCCCCCCCCTCCCACACACACACACACGCATGCGACCACACATGAAACACATCCCAAGAAAAACATGATTTCCAAGGGTCTGATTTACGTGTCGAAGACATGATTTCATAGTTCTCTAGTGAAGGAAAACAAGGTTCGAAATGGTTTCAGAGACCCCCTCGCCCCCTTCCCGACGCAGGAGCTTCCAAACAAACATGCAACATCCAGGCGAATTTAGATAAGAAGGAAACCGTTTTATCACTTGCAGACACTATGAAGTGAAAGAGACGGTTCTAAATTTAAATATGAAGGCAATCATTCCAACATAAAATAAATTTACCGTTGTGGAAACGGGGAAGAGGGGAAGGGGGGGGGTGCTCGATTCGATTGCATGCATGCATCTTTCCACAGCAGTTGGCCATTTGCGAACGATTAACATGAGTTAAAACCAAAGGAGTCACAATTAAATCCGGAAAGAAGTGAATTTGAGTGGCATTGTGGCAACAAAACAGATTCCAAACATTCGGCTGGGTGCGTGGATGCTGCGGACGCTGCGGGCCCACGCCGCCGGAGCCGGCTGGGCTTGCCCCCTCCCCTCCCTCGTCCATCGCCCATATAAGCTGCGCCGTCTGCCCAGCTCGTCACAGTCAGCCAGAGACGCTCATCCGAGTCACATCGCACAGCAGGTCGCTCGCTCGCTTCTCCTCTACGCCAAGTTCAACGCAACTTCAACCATGCCTGGACACGATTTGGACTTGTACTTCAACACCGCCCTCGGCCTCGCCAAGGAAGCCGGCAAGGTAAGCTACCGCGACCACCACGGCGACCAGCTGTGTCGGCGACCCCGGCGGGATGTAAACATTGAGGCCGGTCAGTGCAGAGCCCCAGTCTAACCCGACCTGTCTACCTTTACAGATTGTCAAGAAGGGCTTCCTCACCCCCAAGAACGTGGTGGCCAAGGCCGTGTCCTGGGACTTCGTGACCGAGTACGACCAGGCCTCCGAGAAGTTCCTCATCTCCGGGCTGGCCAAGGCCTTCCCCACCCACAAGTTCATCGGCGAGGAGACAGTCAGCGGCAGCAACGAGGAGCCGGTGCTCACAGAGGACCCCACCTGGGTCATCGACCCCATCGACGGCACCACCAACTTCGTGCACGGCTTCCCGCTCACCTGCATCTCCATCGCGCTGGCCATCAACAAGGAGACGACGCTGGCCATCGTCTACAACCCCGTCTACGACCACATGTTCACCGCCAGGAAGGGCGAGGGCGCCTACCTCAACGGCGAGCGAATCTACGCGTCCAAGGAGACCGACATCAGCAGGGCCGTGGTCGCCCTCGAGCTTTCTCTGGCTAGGGACCCCAAGCTCCACGACAAGATCATGAACAGGGCCAAGAGCATCATTTCTACCGCCACTGGGTGAGTTCTTTTGCTTTTCATTTACAGGCGAAAGTTTAAACACAGTTACTTGTCCTAAGGCATTGCTAACAATATTCTCTGATTTGTGCAGCATCCGTGTGACTGGCTCCTGCGCATTGTCCCTCTGCTATGTGGCACTCGGCAGCTTTGAAGCATACCAGGTTGATCACCTCCACAGCTGGGACGTCGCAGCAGGCTCCCTCATCATCTCTGAAGCTGGTGGTGTTGTCGTTGACACCAGTGGCGACAAATTCGACATGATGGCCCACCGCATTCTGGCTGCTGGCACACCCGAGATTGCCCAGTCACTAGCATCACTCATCAAGCAGGCTGATGGTGAGATGAACGCCATTGCCAGTTAAATTCAAGTTACTGTGATATTCAGAAGCTGGACTTCTACATTTTAAAGACTGCGATATTTGCCTCTGTGAGGCCTGTATAAATTTAAGACTTGTAAATTTTAATTGTAATGATT